ACTCGACATGCCATGAAAGACGCTGGTGTTGAACCGTTGCTTAGGCAGGAGATCTCTGACGTTCTGAACATCAAGTGGTGCACATTGACAGCAACTGAGCGCCAAGAGATGAAGCGGAACTTCATGGTGCAGAACTACAGCAATGAAAGTGCCTTTGATACATTGCATGAGGGAAGCAAATAAAGGCAAAAGGAATAACCAGTGACCTGACCCCAAGTTTATGCCAGGGAAACCATGAACCTGGAAAAGTTCTTCACATTGGTCCATCCTAGCTTAAGTCTACCTGTTTTGATTCTCTTGAAACAAAGGTTGTCAACATGGTGTGCACGAAGGCGAGACCAAACAAAACAAGTGAGCAGTCATGCAAGCTGAGTCCACCACATCTTTGGCGACATGAAAGATGCAGTGACTGGTGGCAAGGGCTTCAAACATCCAGAGCTTGGCAAATGCTATGGTGGAATCAGCCTAGATGACGAGGACATTCGAGATGGGATTGGTTTGATGGTGTTCAGTGGTGATGTCATTGGTAGCTGCATGGCCAGGGTCCAGATTAGTACAATAAAGCCAGCCGTAAAGCCATAGCCCAAAGCCCAAAGCCGACCAAAACCCATGAACAATGGACGGTTTTGTTTTGTTTTTTACCAATTCATCTATGTAAAATGCTGAGGTGATGTGGTTGTAGTTTGCCCTGCTTGCCATCTCAGGTAAAGGCTACGTGTCCTGCAAAGAATCTTTTTTAGGGGGTTCCAAAGAATATATGACTATATATAGACTATAGTCTGACTATAATTAATCATTAATCATCATCAAATTTCAAAGTTATTAAATAGAATCATCATAATCTTAGAATCTTCTTTCAGTTTCCTTTCACCTCTTCTCTCCTGACAGGACATTTTTGTGTGGGGGCCACCATGTTGCCCGTACAGTGCGCTGTCTGTCAAGCGACAAGACAAGAATTACAATCCCTTGCTACATGAAGAGTCAGCGCCCTTTTTCCTGGGTGTCAAACACATCCGAGCCTTGCATGCCACATTTAGAGTTTGTGATTTTTCTCAGTGCTTTTGGAACGTTGGACCCATGAACCCCTGAACATAAAACATGTATCCTGGTCCTGGCAAAATTGCCACCTACACCACCTAAGGAGCCAAGCGGCCACGTGTTGCAGTGATGGAGGAGGCATGACTTTTCAGTGTGACACAAGTGTGCCTGTGGGAAACATCGATTGTCGATATGTCACATGTCTATAAGAAATACATGAAGCTGACAGTACATCATTACATCACATCTATAAATTGTGACCTGTCATATGCTGCACATGCCCATGGAACTGTACGATTTGAAGTGGTACGTCGTGATGTTACAAGCTTTTATTTTTGTTTATGGACAAACAACCTGATATGACATGACTGACTGTCACAATATCTGATATCTGCTGTATGCATAATGTATGCACTTTACAGATTATTCATTGACATGGTATGGATGGCAGTTTGGACACGAAAAGAGTATTTATTAACTTAAGCTTGAGCGTTGGTAACTAAACAGGTGATTTGAGCTAAAACCACTGTCGAGTCAATGCCGCATTTCATCAAACAACCAATGAACCATTTTTGGGAAACTATCAGATCCAAAAACGATTCAATGTATGCATGCTGTTTGCAAGACCTGTGTTTACCCACAAGTCCCAAGTCCACACCAGGTGTTGGGAATCAAGGAGAAGTTCCCAGCTCTGAGAAAGAAGAAGAAGTTGACCAAAGCAGAGCAAGAGTTCTATGCTTTGTACGAGGCATGGTGGGTTCAGTGGCAGGGCCCGGGTTTTGACATTGCAGTGCAGAGCAACAAACCGTGGGTGCATCGCAAATGTACCTCTCTGATTTCGATGCTCAAGGCATGTGAGATTGCATATAGTATACAGCCATGTTCTGTTTTTATACTATAATTTTATAGTCTAGTCTTTGAAAAACTATTGATGGATTGCAAAGTAGCAAACACATCAATGGCTCTAAAGGACTAGGTCGTGGTCAGGATGGTATTAGGCAATACTGCGCATCTTTCTTGGAAAACTCACAAGAGTCACAAGTCCAATTAAAAGCACTGCACTGCATGAATCATTGATCATGAAACTAGAGAGTGTAGCATAGCCTAGCCTAGCCAGCTGAAGAAAAGTGTTTCCTGCTTCAAAACCGTTTTGATTTGCAAAGCAATGGTGACCTAGTGGATCCATGATGAATGATGCCACTGCTCAACCTTCTCCCACGGCAAGAGGCATCACAAAAGACCAATAGATATTTCAAGTGCACTGCAGAGCAAAACCAATTGAGAACCGAGAAAGCCCGACTCAAAGCTCATGAGAAAAGAGTCACAAAGAAGTTGCTAGCCTCTGGCCAGGCACATGCAGAAATACCAGACGAATCCTTTGCAAGTAGTTTGCAACGAAGGTTTTTCACAAAAGCACTTCTGCATTCGCAGTATGAAGATACGAAGGGGGACACTGATGCACTGCAGCAAAAAAGTCCTGACGGGCAAGCGTTTCAAAGAGATAGGGCACGAGCTGTGTATAGCCTGATCAAAGCATTGGTGAGTATGCTGTTGCACTTGTTCCGATCCGAAGACCAAGATTTGTTTCATGTCCTCAATGTGAATGTGGTCGATGACACTTCAACCAGATTTAGAAGAGAGACAGCTGAGCCAACCGTGATTTGCACAGTGATGAATGTTTGTCAATCATTGCACATTCGCAGCAATGCAGAAGGCGATCCCAAGAAAAACTGCACTACAAGTGTGTTGGTCCCTACCCCATTGATTATTCTCGAGCAGGCCACTGCCTCGTCCATATTTGCAGCTTTTACTGATGTGGCAGCAGTAACAGCGAGAGGTGTTGGCAAATTTCTGCAATCTTGGGGGATTCCAAAACATCTTCTTGGAGCAGCCAGATTTCGCACCTATGTTTTCATAGGTGACAGCCTCAAAGCAAACACTGCAGCATTCAAAGATGTTCGTCGAGCTTTTGAACAACAGCGTCAGAGACAGGGCCATCAAGATCAATGTCTATTGGCCCTACAAATGAAATGTTCCATACATCAACTCGGGCTTACCCGGAAACCAGCTGTCTTGATGATACCAGGATTCTGGTCGAACCTGGTTCGCTTTGCACACCTGATGGAAGGGTTTTCGTTTCGTCGGTCATTAGCCAGTGCCTTGATTGCGGTAATCAAAGGCTCTTTTATGAGGATTGAATCCAGCGAGGCTCCCAGAAACTTTGCAGCGTGGCGGTTGCAGGCAGACCAATTGAAACAACAGTTTTGCAGCCGGTCCCCTTCACGGCTGCTAGCCCTTGAGAAAATGTGTGAGTTCTTCAACGGTGACTTCTTGTCCTCCAATACTTTGCATTGGTGCTTTCGGAACGATCAGGGCGAGCTTTGTTGCCAAAACCGCGCAGAAGCATTGGCCAAGGGGTTGAAGCTTGCCGTGGGTTTCTTTATGCAAAATTTTAGTGTCCCCTTACTGTACAGATGGAAGCACTATGATGAAGCAGCGTCCTACATAAAAGCTGGTTGCCTGATTCATGCTTTGTTGCCTCGCGCACTAGCAAATCTGAAAACCACTGCAACACATGATGACCTGATTGAGTTGGTGGAGCAACCTGACCTTTCAGCTGCAGTCCAACAGCTTCTTCATAGCAATGACAATGCAGAAGAAATCAACGAGTTGGAGGAAAGTTTCACTGCCCGAAATGCAAAGCGAACCTCCCTTGTTCAGCGTGAGATGACCAAACCTGGGTTCATTCAATCGGCTTTACTCATTGACATGATCATCAAGCCTGTTGATGAGATGATAAACCGGATGCTGAAACGAACCATGTATATTTCAACACTGACAGGCCTAGGAGACGCAAACAAGACGTGGCAAGACATGTCCACATCATCCCAAGATTTTTTTCTTGGACTTGGTCAATGGGGTTCTTGGCCAGAAATTGGTGAAGTTGTTCCTTTCCATTTTGGAGGATGGATTGGCTGATTCTATCAAGATGTCATTGAATCCTTCACCCGCAAATTTGGAGCAAATCTTTTGCATGGTTATCTTCTGCGCATCAGACAGTTGGCGCCGATTTGTGGATGAGTTCAACCAGTTCCCATACCAAACGTTCAAGTTGGCTACATGCGATCTACCCGATTTTTGCATGTTATGGGATACTTTCCAGGAAAAGCGGCAGACCTGTGTAACTTGTTTTGACACAGAATTTAGCCTGGCTTTGTTGAATGCTTTCCCACACCGTTTGGAATCAGAGCCAGACATGGTGCGTGATGATGTCTGTAGACAAGTCCAGCTCCTCCTGCAGGATGTTTGTACTTATTGCCCCGTTTCTTCAGACCAAGTTGAACTTCGGAATGGGCAGTGCCAGTTGATTTCTTCTGGCCGTGGCAGCCGAGCAGTGAAAAAGCCAAAGGCAGCTCGGGAGGCCCAAATGCTGTACACAGTTGTTCGGCAGCATGAGTTGGTCAAGAACCATGTGGAGCACGAGGCCATGCCACCACGAAAGACGACTGCCAGTATTTTGAAGCGCTGTGGAATGTCTTCAAAAAACAAGTTCAGCAAGGTTCGTGATTCTTGTCCGTCGATCAAGAACTTGTTCTGGCCAATCACTTGATATGTCTGAATTAGAGATATTGTTCTGAATGATATGGCACGAATCAGCGAGGAATTATGAATTGATTGATATGTGTTGTGTTATGTTATGTTAGTTGTATAAGTTGTCGTGTGGTTCTTTCCATAAAGTCAGGTGAGCGTCATGAGCAGAGTTTGTTTGTTTTTCCATTTATATTTATCATTATGATTCATGTATTGCTCTGTATATAAATTTTATCTATTCAGTTGATGCATGTTTGGAGTTTGTATGTGAAAAGTCTGAACAATGTTAAGTCCCACTCATGGCTGTTTTGGTAATGAGGTATGAAAGGGGTTGCTTCTAGGTGGGGCCTTGTTGCGAGAGAATTTCTAAGGAGGGCAAGCCATTGGCTGCTGTGAGCTGTCATGGGGAAAGCAAGAGACAACGGCAAGTGCGCATTCAAAGAGCTGCCACCAAAAAGCTTCGGAAACTGAGTGGCTGGAATATTTTTCAGCGGGAAAACCTTGGACAGTCAACCCTGAACCCCTATCAGTACAAAGCTGCCATCAAACAGCTTTCTGAGAAGTGGAGATCCCTTGGTGCAGATGAGCAGCTTGCTTACCAAGTGCAAGCGGAATTTGAACAAACTCATCGAGTACAAGCTATGGAGCAGCCCTTGCCAACAAAGGGCACATCCGAATCAGGATCAGCGGCCATGATCGGGCGACGGGCTGCAAAGAAGATTTCAGTGGTTCGTTTGATGCAGAATGTGCAGAAGACAGCTGCGCATGTTTCATGGAACAACCCTACACAATTGGGTTCAAGTGCCTTGGCCACAACAGTGCACATGTCACTCACCGTGTCATGGTTTGTGCAATAGAGGCTCGAGACATAGGATTCACTAGACATAGATTCAATACTTCCTAACTGTAACAGTACTGTGTTACAGTACTGAACAAGAAGATCACATTGAGTCAAATGGTACAGTATTTATTTGTACCTGTACTGCGTATAGGATTTAGTTATATTGTCATAATATCTATTTTGGACTAGTAAAGAAAGTAACTAGTAAATATGACTGACTATTATTGTCTAAGTTGAAGAGTCCATCGTTCACAATCAAGGCCGACAATAACATTGGACTTGAACTGGTTTGAATCTACTGATCACTGATGATGACGCTATAGTTTTCTGCTAACCTTGATTCTACTAAGCAACGCTAACTTGACGTGATTTATGATCTGATTTATTTAGTTAGTTAAGTTATTTATGATTTGATTTGTGTTTGGTTGCGTTGTGGATTTCAAGTCATTTCATACCCAGTACTTCTTACTTAATTTTCAGGTCAGGTAAACATGAACCCAATATAGACACTGCTCTACTGCACGACACTTGACACATGTTGAATCACAAAAAGCCAAGCAGGGCCAAACAAGTCTAGTTAGACACCACAAACATCAACATCACTACGGTCACTACACTGTTAAACTAATCGATGCAGCAGACGATGTTTTCCTGTCCTTTGTTTTTTGCTGGTCAGGTTCTGGGGCGTTGAAGATTGAACACCTTGATGTCGAGGCTACTGACCAAGATTGCGCGAGCTTTTTGCAGTCATGTGTTCACTGCAATGTGCCACTGCCAGACACTGATTCTGATGTGGACTCCAATGTGGACCTTGACATCAGCAAAACAGAGCTGGTACCCTGCAAGGCTGCCTTTGGATTGCGCTGTAAGGAAAATGATTTCAACCAAGTCAAGATCCTGGTCCAAAACTTCAATGACAAGCTGAAGGAGAATGAGATTCGGGTGGGTGATTTGCTTCATTTTTCTACAACGCAAACTTCCATGTTGGCATTTTTTGGGTCACAGCTCAAAAGGCCGACAAGACATATACAATGGGGGATGATACCACTTGCCAGTTTATGTATGAAGATGGTCACCCCAAGATCATCACCTCCCACACCTTTTTTCACAGTTTGACGAGTGAAGGCAGTGACAACGATGGGGTTACAGTGACTGTGGAAGTTTGGTCTCGTTGTGTTCGCTGGTGTGCTGAACAATCCCAAGTGCAAGTTGATGTGGGGGAGAAAAAGCAATCTTTCACGGTTGGACTTGCTAGGCAGCAGAAACCTCCAAAGGTAAAGAGGAAGCTGCCCTTTGGATTGAAGATGCCAACAAAACGGAAAAAAACGAGGTCGTTTGCAAAGCAAAAGCCTCAGAAACGAAAAAGGGCCAAGGCCAAGGCCAAGGAAATGAAACCGCAATCTGGTGTTGAAGTTGAAGAGGCTGGAGATTCAGGAGGGTCTGGTTCAGATGTGGAGACTGGTGGATCTTCCACTTCTGAGTCGGAGTTTTCTCAGATCAGGAGCAGGGATGAAGAAGAGCAAGAGCCTCTGCCACCCACCAAAGAGGCTGAACAAGAAGCTCATGAGCTAGAGTTGGAAGTGCAAGAATTTGAAGATGCTCAGCTGGGGCAGCTAGACACGCCTTCACCTTCCTCAAATTTGATGCCTAGCACCAGCGCAGCGGGTTCAGGAGCAAGCAGTAGCAGCAGCTCAATGCATCCAGCGCAGGTGGCAGCTCTTAGGGTTGGGGGTGCAGGTCCTGGTCAAAACGAAGGCTTGCAAGTCGAAGTTCCTGGGCATGGGGCTGCAGCCCCTGGTCGAAACCAAGCTTTGCCTCAGAAGGATGTGAAAACTTTCTTTTGTCAGAAGATTGGGCTTGATGATGTTGGACTGGCAGTTTCCAACAGGAGCAAATGTTACCATTGCAGCCAGAAAATACCCAAAGACAACATTCGCTTCAGCTGGTACTTCAGCACACTTCGACCCAGCAATTGGGTTCATAGCGCTTGCTTGCTGCCACTGGTGACTGCCAAGAGAGATTTGAAAGATCAGGTGATAGCTCGTTTGCGTGTGTTGCTCCAAAAGGCTGAACAACCTACAGTGCCAAGGTCTCCTGCAGAGGCCAACATCGCATTCACACTGCGTGCAGTACTTGCTCAGATTAACGCTCTGAATGATTGATGAACAGCCAATCCGATATGTCCACTTGAACGCTGCTTCTCTTTGTGCAATAGAAAAATGGGAGCACATGTTTTGTGGTCAGGTGGCTGAGTCTCATCCACGAACAGTTTAGGGAACTGCTATAGGCTACAGGCTATGGCTATGGCTATGGCATATGATTGTCATGTCTAGTCCTGTGTCTAAAGTAGTGTGACGTGTGTTATGTACGACCCACAAGGATTGCCAATGTTTTTCCTTCAGCTGTTGGTTAGAAGTTCGATGTATTGCATCTAGTAGCACCAATTTCCAACCACTCACTGCTTCTTTATCATTCAACCTTTTGAATCCCGACAAACAAACTCTTATAACAGCAATACATGGGCAAATAAACGGTCCCCTCAATATGAACACCACCCGTGTTGAGTATGTGCTTTCTGAGAAATGACATTTGCAGCGCCAAATCAATACTATAAAATTGTTATCTTATAATATGGTCCGTCTATATATAATATTAACAATATAATATAGTCTCATATCATAGGTTTTATATCATACGCAATCATAATATATCAAATTTTATATGTATGACTAGTGGCGACTGGCTACAGGGTTTCAGGCCTCAGATTGCACAATAGAAAGTTTGGGATGGTCATCGTAAAACATATTGATTCAGTTTTGGATTGGGCTCATTCACCGTTTGTATTCTTGAAGCCAACGTTACTTCTGATTGTTGGCTGTCAGTTTCATTCCATGGTCCATTCCTCATTGTTCTTTCTGGCAGGCTCCATACGACTACTTCATGAGAGGAATTCTCCCAAGTGGTGAGAAAGTGGGCCTCCAATATTTGGAGGGATATTGCGTTCGGGACTATGTCCTAAAGCAGCTTTGCTTCAAAGCGTTTGTTGGGCTGGTGGGATATGAGCCTGTGGTTTTGGGGTACGGTATCGACGACAATGATGATGATGATGATAATAATGATTATGATGGTGATGATTCAGTGATGATGATTGATGATGTTAATGTCAATGTTGAATGTTCTGAATGTTTTAAGCGCTTTCGCCGTCGCTTTCAACTTTCAGTATCCACTTTGACAGGATGCTTTGCTGGTGGAAAATAAGTACTGTAGACTGTAACGAACTTCATTCTTACTGTAGATTACTTGTGGCTCAGAACAATCATGGTTGTAACACACTGGAGTTTTTCATTAGACTATGTCTATGTATGTCTATCTATGACAGGACAGTACAATACAAGTTCCAACATACCGTACGAAATCAAACCAATCATCCAATCATCATACCAAGAATCTCTTTGGTAGCCTTGTCTTATGGTGTCCTGTCTTGGTCAAGAGCTTGGGTAGCTAGTATCTTTTTCCATGTGTCTACTTCCAGACCATGCGGCTTTGCCCACTGAGTTCTCGAGACTTCAAGATGGCCCAGGGTCGTGGACGAGTATATTTCCTGATTGTTCAGGAGAGCTTAGTAAGTATGCCGGGCCTGGACAGGATTGAGACGGAAATCCTACCCAAGATCGAGGACTACTACCAGGAAAATGTTATTTCATCTACTGTTCAGCAGACCCGATTCTTTGTGAAGCGAGTCCTTGAAGATGAAGGGCTGTCGCCAACAAAGCCATCCAAGTCCGAGGACTGGGCCGCATGGGGGATGGTCTGGCCGATGGTGTCATAATGTGTTGGAAGCGGCTCCGAGCGGTTTTTAGAGCGGTTCAGAGCGGTTTCTGACAAGGGTGCTTTTCATTTGCGGGGGGAGTCAGGACGGTGCCCGCAAAGAGGAATCCAAAGCTCTGGAGAAGGCGCGGAGAAAGGGCCTTGGGGTGGGGAAAAGGATCCCACTCTACAGCTCTACTCCTGAGCTGGGGGGTGATTCTGAGTGCTTGGGGCTGTTGAACAGTCGGCACAAGGCAGCTTTGGATTTGAACTATGGCGTTCTAGTGGAAACTTGGCAAGATGTAGTACTTAGAGCGGTTCCATTCTTGGGGGATTGTTTTTTTGTGATTCCCCAGGTATGGATTGGTAGGTTTTTTGTCTCAACTTGTTTTGCTTCAGAGTGATGAAATTCAACTTCAACCACCAGAAATCCTGAGCCTTTGTTATTCTTCTTCAATGCTTACTTTGGCTGGAACAGGAAAGGTCAGTCCATGTCCTTCCATAATATGATTCTAGAAACTTAGTTACTTAGCGTTATGATTTTTCAAGACAGATTTCAAGTACACTATGACCAGACTAGACCTAGACTAGACTCACTGGTCACTGGTTAAAAACATAACATAAGTAGTAGTGATGTGAGTTATGCGATGTTTGAAAACATTTCAAGGAACCGCTCTGAACCATTTAGAGCCGTTCCTTAGCAAAAAACACAAAAAATCCAAATAGTTCCAAATAGTCCCAAATGGCTCCAAATAGTTCCGGGATTTTCTGGTAGCTTGAAATGGCTCAGAGCCGTTCGGAGCCGTTCCATAGGACATGAACCAACATGTTAGGAAACCGCTCCGAGCCATTTGGAGCCGTTTCTAAAGCAACCTATATAACTACATATAATACATACATAATACATATAAAATGTAATATAATAGACAAGTAAATAACTATATAAAAAACATATAAACTATTTATATTGCTGTATTTTATACTAATCATAGATCATAGAATCAAATTATGATTACAGCCTAGCTTTATAGTTATAATAATCATTAAATATATAAAAGTGTTATCTTATGAAACAAAAATAACAAAATCATATTATCATATAACCAATTTCATAAATATAACAATAACTTAACTATAGAATAAAAACACTACACTGTACTATGGATGTGTTCATGAAGCTACGTTTAAATGTGAACAATAACAGAACAAGGTCATGTTGTGGACACATCACGCCACTCACTTTGTTTCATATCACTGTGCGGATTGAAACAAAGTGATACATTGATCGCCATGGACCATTATTGTTTATGTCATCCAAACCTGTCGTGGTCACATTGTTGCATAATTGTTACTGGACTAGACTATTACACTTACACAGAGTAGAAAAGGCGCACGGTACACATGTAAATTGTCTTTGTTTGTAGTCTAAAGTTTATAGTCTAGAGTCTAGAGCCTCTAGTTCAAAGGATGATGTAACGGTGATGTACCCATGTGTAAAAACCAAAGTGTGAGATATGGTGCAGGAAGACGCTGCATATTGAGATGATGAGAGTTTCCAACTATCAAACTATCTCAAAACAACTTTATATTGTGTTGCTGCACCGTGCCATGAAATATGTAGGTAAGCAGCCCAAAAAATACAATACCGTCTATGATTGAGCACTGAACACTCACAAAACTCGAAGTATACTGACACATCATATATGATTTGAGCATATGATACGCCAAACTTGTTAAACCAAAAACACTTGTGTACTGTGTACTGTTCTTGGTCCATGGTCCGTGGCTGCATGAACACCAACTACACAACTGCTGACCGCATTGTGTTTGTTCCCCACAAAGAAGCACACTCAACAGCTTGACTCTCTCTTAGTGCGACATGACATGCCAATCACCTGCCTTCTTAATTGTATTTCAAAATCAGAATCATAACCATAGCCACCATGTGAGCCATACCTAGCCCCGTAATACCAAACACACCACACCACACATATTTCTGTTCGTATCAGTATCATTGCATTGTCATTTCAAACCATATCATCCATATCACACATGTGTGTCTCTGTGTCACATGTGTTTTAAAATGAGTAGCACATGCATCCAAACGATAAAATACAAGTCTTGAAAGGGTGCACAAGTCTACCAATTTCCATGTTTTATTCAAACCCCACTTGAACATACCAGGTGTCTGACAGAAGATGACATTGCCTTCCTACAAAACAAGTAATTACAAATTAGTCCTATGGTATGGTTTATGGTCCCTGGTCCCTGGTTTTCCAAATTCACGTTGCCAATGCCAATATTTATGGTTCAATGGCTGCCCAAGACATTTAAGCAGCCCAGGACCGTGGTGTGTCTGACCCGAGCACGACAAATTGTTTGACAGACCTGGCCCGTTCACACCTTACTTTGCCATGTTTGAAAAGCAGTACTTGAAGTAGTGGCGGCGCAAAGCTTGAAGTAGTGGCGGTGCAAAGCTGACTTTTGAACTACTGAAGCAACCTTAGAAGAAATTGAAATGTCCTTGCCCGTGTCATTCCCTTGACATCATTTTGCTGATTAGGTTAAGATGGACGAGAGACCATCTTTCGTGATGGGAAGATCTCAGCTTTGTCAAAGTCAGTTCGACTTTGGGATTTTGTCGGGAAAGATCTGGTGTGTGGTGAGGACAGTTTTTTTTGAAAGATGATGGATGCTTCAAGAGTCTATCTCCATGCGCGTGCCGTGTCATCATATTCACTTCCATGCTGCATGCTGCTGTATGTTGCATGTACTGTTTACTAGAAGATAGTTTTCAACGTGTCAGGACCTACTTTGCTTGCAAGGCTTCAACCTCAAGAAGCTCATGCCTGGTCTGAAGTCCTGCAAGCTGAGCTACAAAGACATGAACGAATTAGCAGGACAGGTTTTGACGGGACTGGGGAAACAATGATGACAAATTGGGAGATGATATACAATGATTGATGATGCATGAATAGATTTATATTAGCTTATATTATATTATATACGGTAGGATATGATATGTTCTGATTCGAACTCTTCTTAGATCAGGATGTCATTTCCAATGAATCTTAATCTTATCGAAGAATGCCGAGGCCAAAATTGATCTGTCCCTGTTGCTTTTTGTCAGGGGACGCTATGTCGGCACCAGTGCTGGGAACTTTGCTGCTCATCATCATTGGCTACCTGATTCCCATGGCAGACAACAAGCCTTGCCTCGGATCATTGGATGTTTCTGGGCGGCCTTTGCAGATGTTGCCCAGAGTTGTCCATGCTGATGATGAGCAAGATGTGAGTGATGCTGAGACTGCCATCTTGGGGTTTGGGTCACCTGCACCTCCTCGGTTGGATGCCTCCATTGGTTTGAATGCGTTCTTCATCAAGAAAGCAACCCATGCTCAGTGGTTTTGCCACAATTGCGATGAAACGATCGAAGTTGAGGATGCAGTGTGTGAATGGTTGTGCCCCAAATTGCCATTCCATGCGGTCTATATTCATGCTGGATGCTTGCTGGCTTGGAGCGCCAGCAATGAGGCAGACCCAGAATGCTTAGATGCCTTGGAGAAGTTGAGCGTTCTGAACACACACAGGAATGACCCAAAAACCCTGAAGCTTTTGAATGACGCCCTCAAAGATTTTTTGGAGTTGGATGTTGCCAAGCGAAGCTTTGGCAACCCAATCGCTGAATCTGACTCAGATGTTGAGATTCTTGGCCCCCCCCCCACTGCCAAACGCCGCTGTTTGCCCTTGCTATCAAGGCCACAGCTTTGCCAGAGTTTTGGAAGTGAGGTAGTCAGGAAGCGAAGAGGACCATACATTTGATACTTCTCTCAGTTTTCACTGCCCAGGCTTCCAATAGGATCTGAACTTTGAACTCCAAGGTCCAAGGTTCAATCAATAGGAACAGTTGTTGTGCACTTGGAAAGGTCTTCAAGCTTGCATAGCCTCACATAGGCACCTGGCAGGGACGACTTAGTAGACAGATGTGATCTGTCTCTTATTGTGGTTTGTTGTAGACGGATGTTCAATGACATGATTATGATGCGATTACAAGCCACCTTTTATGTTGGTGTTTTTTGTTTACAAAGAGTGTCCAAGACCCTGCCATTCCCTCAGTGGATCTAATTTAAACGAGTTGGCTCAGTCTCTAGCTGTATTGACAGCTTAGAGTTAGGATGAGTCAGCTCCGGGCCTTCTGGGGAAAAGGAATTGGCCTGATATCACTATGGGCCGGCCATGAGTCATGCTCCTTGCAGTGTGGGGAAATCTGTAGTAGTGGAATTCGATTTCATTTTTTATCAGACTGACTTTGCCACATGATGTTAGAGCTCTGCAGCTCCTTTGTCTCACTGCCTGGGACAGTCCCTTGGCTTTGTTTGCCAGTGCCCCTCTAGTAGGTGCACCTGTTGGTCATGTCAAGCCATGGCCATGACATTGACCATGAGTTGGAGTGCAGTTCTTGCGTCCTTTGCCTGCAGGTCTTTGGTGCGAGTGATCGTGACACTAGTCTGTTGAGTTTAGATGCTTTCTTTTTGAATTTCACCCACCCAGGATGACGAAAGGTTTAAATGAAAACCTAAGAGCGCAATCATACGTTGATAGACGATACAAATGGTTGATCCTTTACAGCAATCTTCACTCACTGGAGGGAAAAACATATTGAATTACTTGCGGTTATTCGTTGATCAAGATCAATGAGTCTGGACCCCGATGTTTTGTTTGATTGGCCTGACATCAGGATGCACCAGAAGGCTTTGCTTTGGTAGTGGTTGCAAGCAAGTCGAACCAGACTGGGTCTTGCTTGAAGTGCCTCTACATCCACCGGGGCTCCTTCAAGAGCACTCCACTTGCAGTGCTTGCGAAGAATCTTCGTGAGTTCCCACAGTTGAACGACAAGTTTCTTGCTAGCAGGTTCTAGTGTGTACTGTATGTTGTTCCACGACCATAAAGCAAATCATTTGTCAATGAGGTTAACACATCCTTTGCTTATTGTAGGCTTCCTAGACTTTGTCTATGTTTGATCTTATGTGCTAGGCTAGGCTATTTGTTTGTTATTGTGAGGTGGCCAGGTCTTTGAAATCTTACTTTCTCTAAGGTTCTGTGAGCTCCGCCGTGCCCACGTTGAGCAGATCCTTCGCAACCCGCGTGCAAAGCCACGCCACGAGAAAGTGGACATTGCCCTGTTTACGCAGAAAGTGGAAGAGTCATATCTCGACGTCTCACAGGACTGGTCTTCAGGGGTAACGGTAAAGTCGGTGAGGTCTGGACAAGTTTTCAAGGCTGCTGGCCCATAGCCCCACACCTATATGTGCCACCAATGCCTAAATAAATTACTAGCCTATACTAGGGCCTCGAATACTGAGTAGTTGAGGCCAATTGTCAAGGCTTTGGAGGGTCACATGGCAGGAGATGCTGTGGCTATCCATCAAAGATTTCTTTGCAGCAAATGCGACAGCTGACCAGAAGAAGCGCTGCAAAAACCACAGCCAAAAGAGACAGTGCATCCTCAAAGAGATGAAACTCCCTCTGCAGAAGGACTATGGGCCCAGTTCAAAATTCCTTGTGAAAACATGGCTGGATGGCTGGAATCAAGTAAAGCTAATGTGAAGGGAGTCATTGTAGTACTAGTCATTGTCATTGTCATTGTGTTTTTAAAATGAGGGACTAGGGTGATGGAAGTTCTCCAAACGATTGACGTGTAGTTGCGGGCAGCCTTCGAAGCATCATGAATCATTATGTCAAAAAGTGTTATGCTTGATGGGCTGATGGGTTCCTGGATGTCTATAGTTTTTTCTAACGCATTAACCTTTGACCTGTCAGGATGACACTGGCGTTGAAGGTGTGGCAGTTGAAAAGAATCCTGGCCAGAAGACCATCAAAGTGGGCAAGCGTTTGGCGAGCTCTAAGATCAAGCAGGAACACCATGAGACGAGGGAGGAGGCTAACGAGGCCATGGAAGCCAATGCGTCCAACCTCAAAGTTGATGCTGTTGATCAGGCCTGAGTATTTTGACCCGACTTCTTTTTGGCAGCCTTTGTCATGCCAGGCCAAACAGAACACTCTTCCTTGGCAGCCTGTACCAGCCATACATTGCATACAGTACATCTTGTTTCATACAGATTCCTACGTGTTCATTGTGATTCATTGCCACAATGCTTGTGAAATAATGACATTTGTTTTGATTAGGGAAACTGTTTTGATGGCATGGGGCATGGCCTGTATGTATGTCTGACTGCATCCATCAATATGCAGGAGAGGGTGGACGCGCTTGCAGCTGGAGAAGGTGACGGCTCGAATTCAAGCTCTTCCAGTGATGATGAATCCAGCAGTTCCAGCAGTTCCCATTTTGGATTGCAGTCCAGTGCTGCCCCAAAAGCCAAACCCAAAGCCAAGAAGCCAAAGGCTGCGGGTAAGGGCGCAGACAAGCCCAGTGCTGAGGTAGCACCACCGGTACCTCCAGTGGCATTGAAGACCATTGCCACCGACAATTCTGAGCCAAGTAGTGCTTTGCCAACTCCAGCTCCATCATCTAGATCAGAGAAGTCAGAGAAGCTTTCTGAGAAGGCGCAGCAGATGCTTTCAAGCCTTGAGCTGTTGACCCCAGCCACCATTTGGCAGACAGGAGTGGCAAAATCCAAGTCAATTGAGCAGACTCTGAACAAAGCGATGGAGTTGATCTCTCGCTTGGACGGTCAGTCTGAGGCAGGCCTGCAAGAGGCCAATGCCAAACTAGGGGCTGAAGCTGATCGGGTGTCTCAAACCTTCGACCTGGTGCATGAGATCAAAGATGCAAAGTCTGCGCTTGGCAAGTCCTTGATCGACAACAAGGATCGCTTGATGGCAATGGTGGGCCCGATGAAGCCGGAAGACATTAACATTGTGCTCATTGACATTGCCAAGCAGTTGGTGGAGGCACCCCTTGTCAATAAATGTTGATGTTTGTTGTTAGGTGATATATTATATATGATTATATGATTATATGATATGATATAAGAATATGAGATATGACTAGACTATGACTATGACTGAACTGGACCATAGAGCACCAGTCTAGAAACCATGGCAAAGCAGTTGCAGAAAAAATGAAGGCCTCCAGCTTCCTTCATTTTTTGGACATCCCAATGACAGGTCAACATTGAGAGCAGTGGCAATGATGCAGTGCTCTTCTCGTTCATTACCATCAACCAGACATCATGGAATGGTTTTGGTCTGAGTTCCTTGACCACGGAAGAGGTGAAACCCACTTTGTGCACAGTGCAAACCAATGTGATCAACTTTTGGTTGGACAAGCTTCGACCGCTTGGCACAGCAGCTTTGCACGGGGTTTTGGCTAGCATTCCAGCTGATTGGTTTCTTCCAGCTCTCACGAGGCAGTGCAAACACTTGTCTAAGTGTTGAAGTTTCGTTTAACTATGAAATACATTCACTCCTCTGACTTGACTGTGGGCTGACAAGATGTTCAAATTAAACTGCACTGTTGTTGGATGGATTACTGTTTATATAAGTTTTTGAAGTTTGAAGCTTGACTGGGCCCATGATAGATTTGTACCTGGCAAAGTTTCTAGAACATCTTGGGCATGGCAATGTTATGTTGGTTTGCAAACACCCACAGGCGGCCAATCCCGCCGAATGCAGATTTGACATTTTCACCACTGGACGAGTCTGTGGAAAACAAGACGGGCATTGTGACCAAAGCCCTTTTCGATTTGCAGAAGATGTTGGCATGTCAGGTGTGCTCCGATTCCATCATCGACAACAATGCCAAGGCCGAGATCAAGAGCATTGCGGGCTGCACTTCCTTCTCTGCAAGGGTCAGCTTGCTGTTCAAGTCAAATGCTGCATTGAGGCACGGTCGAGAGTTTCCTGACCCATATATACTTTCTTGGGGTGAGCCCTGTTCGGTCAAGTCATGCTGTGATGATGCTGCTTTTGATGTGTTGAATTGCGCTGATGATGTGGAGTAAAGTAAAGTGGAGTAATGACTGCTTGGCCTATTTTCCAAACTTGTTTCCTCCCTTCTTGTGGCAGGGAACTTTGGACAGTGTGGCGGGCAAAGGCGCTGAGCTAGTGAAAACATTGGGGCAAGTGAGCGACCTCTTCAAGACTGGCAAGTCCACAGATTTTGCTGCTTCCCATGAGCACTGGAAGACTCTTGAGTCCGTGGCGGACACCTCAAACTTCTTGGGCAATCTTGAAGGGCGCCAAAGTGAGTTAGATCAGCTTCAGGCAGCGAAGTCTACCTGTCTTGGGCTGATGGTCCATCATGATGAGCCTTACCAAGCATTGACTACGATGGTTGAGCAGCAGTTTCTTGAGGGGAACGAGGGCTTCAAACTGCAGAATGTGTCCGAACAGGATCTTTGCAGTGCTGGCATTGCAGGCTCAATTTTGACTTGCAAAACAAAATCATCAGGTTAGCATAGGCACTAGAGGTGGCTGGATGCATGCTTGCTTTGTTACCTCCTTGTTCTGTCACAAACAAAAATACATTGTCTCATTGTGATTCACTATCTGTGGCTGTAGTATCACACACTTTCTTCCTGAAGGTGTTTGCTTGGGCTTCCTTGAGCGGAAGGGCAGTCCCAGTGACATTGCAGTCCACAAGATGGTGGCCTGCTTGGTGCGAGAGCTTTGTGCATTTATGGCTTCCACCACCCACGAGGTTTGCAACAGCATTCAGCTCTGGAGGGCACTTTCTGCAGGCTTGTCGGGGGATCTTCGCACGGCTTCTGCCGCAACTGCCAAGCTGCTGCCTGTCCATGCTGCTACTCGCAAAATGATGTTTCGGTTGGAGCAGAAGATCTTGAGCAGTGGAAAAGACTTTGTGAAATCTTTGGTCAGTGAACTTGGTCTTGGCCCAGCTTTGGCAAGAGCTACCAAAGAACTTGGCTTTCCTGTGCCACCTTTGCTGGGAGCAGTGCTCAATGTGCTTCGTGCGTGCCATGGTTTGGGGGACGATTCCCTTGACACCAAGGAGGTGAAAGTCTCCCGTGACTCTTTGCAGAAGAACTTGCCAATGTACATGAAGCTTGTGGGTGTGACTGAGACCGAGCCAGAGTTCCTCAAGGAAGCTTTGCCGGATTTGTATGGCAAGGTTCTGCAGTATGTCACTCATTTCCAGGTTTGCTTGCTCGAGTGGCTTGAGGGAAAGGAGAAGTTCCTTGCAGAAAGTGAGAAGCTCTTGGACAAGTTCAGGCTTGTGGTTTTGTTGCCCCAAGGTCCCAAGGTCTTGAAGTTGTTGGAAACCAGGTCCATTGGGACTCATGACTGATTGAAACTACTGTATGTTTGACTGGTATCAGTTCTCAACGGTTTTTTCTCTGTCAGACTTTTTCAAGTTATCCATGTTCCATGTTCAAAAAAGAACTGCGCAGGCCTGTGCTGGAGGCCGTTCAAACTTGGGACTTCACCCAAGTACAGTGGCTGCTGCAGTGTCGAGATGCAGAGCAGGCCAAGAAGGTGGAAGATGAATCAGGCCAATTGCTGGTCGCGCGGGAGAAGCTTGGCAAAGGTGTTCCATTGCTCAACTCCTTGAAGTACAGCAGTGGGAATCTGGGTGATCCTTCGTTGTGGGGTGGGCACTTCCTGACCAACTTGCCCAAGCGAGTTTCGGACAGGGTTGTGGGTTTAGATTGTGGAAACAAATATAACAGGATCAGTGATCAGTAGTACTAGGACCAGTGTTTTGAGGTTTCCATTATTGATTATTGTTTAAAAGATATTAAGATATGTGATGTGATATATACATACTACTGATATATACTGTGTACTGTGTACTGTACTTCTTATTGATTACATTCACCAACAGGGTCAAAGCCATATTGATCTTCACAGACCGTCTCAAGGCACTCCCCCTTGTAGAAGGGGTCAGCGGATTAAAGTTGGGGACCACATTTTCAAAGACAGCTGGAAATTGAGAAGTGTGAATTGTTGAGTGGCTTGCTTACTGCTTTCCTTGTGTCCAGGACTTCAGATCTACCTGTGCACATGCGATTGGGAGCATGTTGGGAGCTGACATGGTCCTAGCTGATGATGAAGCAACCAGGACTCCGAAGGGAAGAAAGGATACT